TGCAAAGAAGCTGAGAGGTTGCATACAAGTTCAATCTAAGCCATAACTCATGACACCAAATCAAAGTTGAACATATTGTGATTAATTAATGAACAGTTAGTTATAGAAATGGTTGGTTCCTTCAGCTGAGTTCAACCTTAGTCATTGAAACCTTACCCAGACCCACCACTTTCCCAAACATTTTCTGGCAATGCCTTTTGCTGATAGTGCTATGCTGATGCATACTGAGCCTTGCTCAGGACAAAGTTGGAAACAACTGAGAAGCTAGCTGAGGTAGAAGATGATGTAGCTCACAGTCTGAGGTTCTACTTCATAGTGAGTCTCACTATGAAGTAGAACCTCAGTGCCTTGGCTTCTCCTTCTCCTCAGCACTGAAGATGCTCACAACTAAGAAGGATGATGTAGTCACCAGGTACTCCACTTTCTCAGGATGCTGATGTCCTGTCAGGGACAAAAAGCTGAGAGCAAAGCATACAACTATTTGACACTAATCTCAGTGTATAGTGTTCATTGAATAATTAATCAGATAAATAAGTAACTACCAATCAATATGTGTTAAACAAATTGACTAATTAATTATGCAATCAAATAATTCCAACAATTAACCTGCAGAAGAAGCCTCCACATCCCTTCAGATCTGCACACCTTTTTCCTTCATTCAAGCTGTATGGATTGCTTCTGAAAGCAAATTTAAAAAGGACACTGAGATTTCACTCAGTGATGTTCCATCTGCCTGAGGCAGCTACTTATCCTCATCATTCTGAGATTTTTGTTTCTTAGCTGGAGGACTGAGCAAATAGACAGCCCTGTCCCTTGGGATCTGGTACTTCTCTATGAAATCTTCAAGTTTCTGAGTCATGAAAGCATCCTGGGCCTCCTGAGCCTCCCTCTCAGCTTTTTCAGCCTCCTGCTGAGCCTCCTCCTCAGCTAGTACTGCCTCTTTCATTAAAACCATGTTCTCATGGGTTCCTTGGAAAGCAATGATGCTGTTTGAAATCTCCTGAGACACATCTTCCATCAAGCTGAGATCAGTCTTCAGTCTGGCCACAGTCCTTTCCTGCATTTTCTGAGCTTGTTCCATCAATTCTATGCATTCTTGGAGCTCATCCATGTGAACTAACAGGTCCTCCAGAGGTTGCTCATTCATGGAAGCATCTGAGAGAAGCAGAGCCATTGCTGAGCACCTACCCCCAGGATCCATCTGCTGGAGCTGGCTGAAGTAGTATGCTTCACCACTATGACACTCACTGGCCTGAGGTGGATCAGCTGGCCTTGCCTTAGGCATCACTGGTGTGCCTAGGGGCTCAGGAGGACGCTGAGAAGATGAAGGCCTAGAAGCAGAAGGATCTTCCATGAACTGAGCCTTACCATAATCTGCCTTCACTGACTTAGCCCATGGCAATGGATCCATGCTGAGAATCCTGGTGTAGTACCACTGGATCACCCACTGAGGCCATCCATCTGAGCCCTCAATGCAAGCTGCTTTGAATGAAAAAAAAGTAGACTGTAATTGATCAATTAATTCATGATGTTACCAAGTAATGAATTGCTCAATTAATTAATTAATTGGCTAATTGATTAATTAATTAATTATATGATTAATGTTGTTTACTTAGTTTTGAACTGTCACTGAGGTACTTGTAATTAGCAGTAATACTTTAGTTCAAAGCACATAAAAATCAGGAACAAAAAACAGGTAAACAAAAATAACATTATTCTAAGTCCACCCAGGAACTCTGCATTTGCCACATCCTGACTGCCAAGGAATTCTGCTGAGAAAAATGTCAGCTCCACAGGAACCACGGGCAACCTTAGGCTCATCCAAGCACCTGGGGTACTTGACCATAACCTCCTTATCCTGATTCTGGAACAGCTCAGAGATGTAAGGTCTCTTAGGATCACATGGTTGCACCAACTGAGCATGCTTTCCATTCTCTGATCTATACACCATTCCAGCAGGAATAGTGCTAAGGAGTTGCTGAGGTACCCAGGGCCCATATCTGCCCTCAGCATCCTTTTTTCCTGAGCCTTGGGCAGCTGTCTTCTGCTGCCAAGGGTGATTCTGCTGACTAGCAGCAGTGTTTGAACTCATGGCTTGCAAGAAGTGCAGCTGAGTTGGTGGAAATCACACTGAGATCAAAGCAGCTGAGGAATCACATAGACATGCATAATTCAACACCATGCAAGCAAAATATCTAGTTGACTAATTCATTTATTACAATTATATATAATGAATCAATAAATGTATAGTTATTGAATATGATGCATGTGCAAGTAATTATAAGAAACTTACACATGCATAAGCATGCATTACTGATCAAGATTGCCACAAGTCTGAGGCCATGGTCAAGCTGAGCACCAATCCTACCCCACCAGAAACACCCTTCAGTCCTCTGGAGCTAAGTGATCTCATGGTGCTGAGTGATTCCAGCATGCTCTTCAGCAGCACCATTGCTGAGAAAATCAACACAGTTGGATCTGAGCCTTCACAAGCTTTGGTATATAACATCAAAACTAAGTAAAGATTTTCCAAAGGATGAGTTTCAGCCAACCAAAAAAAAACATGAATGATCATGATACAAAATAGTATGGTTTGTTTGGGGGTACACTATTGTGTCCAGCTGCTTCCTGATGTGTTTTTTTGAACATTCTCTTTACCTTTTCCTTTGCTATTATTTTTTATTTTCTCAATTAGTTTCTTTTATTTACAATTCTCAGAAATGCTCAATTTCTCAAAATATATGATGCCTTATTAAAACCCAATTAAAAAACATGACTCAAACAATTTTTCAAGAGGGTAGTCCATGAGCAACCCTGATACACAATAGTGTGGTTTGTTTGGGGGTACACTATTGTGTCCAGCTGCTTCCTGAGGTGATTGTTTTTTTTTTCAACCATTTCCTTTTCTTTTTCCTTTGCTAAAGTTTGTTTCCTTTTACTTAGCTTCATTTTTCTTGGATTCAAAACCAAAGGCTTTCCAAAGGATTAGTTTCAGCCAAGCAAAAAAAACATGAATGATCATGATACACAATAGTATGGTTTGTTTGAGGGTACACTATTGTGTCCAGCTGCTTCCTGAGGTGATTTGTTTTTTTAACATTCCCTTTACATTTTCCTTTGCTAAAGTTTTACTTTCTCAATTAGGTTCTTTTATTTAGAATTCTCAGAAATGCTCAATTTCCCAAAATATATGATGCCTTATTAAAACCCAATTAAAAAACATCACTCAAACAATTTTTCAAGGGGGTAGTCCATGAGCAACCCTGATACACAATAGTCTGGTTTGTTTGAGGGCACACTATTGTGTCCAGCTGCTTCCTGAGGTTATGTTTTTTTTCAACCATTTCCTTTTCCTTTTCCTTTGCTAAAGTTTGTTTCCTTTTACTTAGCTTCATTTTTCTTGGATTCAAAACCAAAGGCTTTCCAAAGGATTAGTTTCAGCCAAGCAAAAAAAAAACATGAATGATCATGATACACAATAGTATGGTTTGTTTGAGGGTACACTATTGTGTCCAGCTGCTTCCTGAGGTGATTTTGTTTTTTAACATTCCCTTTACATTTTCCTTTGCTAAAGTTTATGTCTTTTATTTTCTCAATTAGTTTCTTTTATTTAGAATTCTCAGAAATGCCTAATTTCCCAAAATATATGATGCCTTATTAAAATCCAATTAAAAAACATGACCCAAACAATTTTTCAAGAGGGTAGTCCATGAGCAACCCTGATACACAATAGTATGGTTTGTTTGAGGGTACACTATTGTGTCCAGCTGCTTCCTGAGGTGATTGTTTTTTTTCAACCATTTCCTTTTCTTTTTCCTTTGCTAAAGTTTGTTTCCTTTTACTTAGCTTCATTTTTCTTGGATTCAAAACCAAAGGCTTTCCAAAGGATTAGTTTCAGCCAAGCAAAAAAAAACATGAATGATCATGATACACAATAGTATGGTTTGTTTGAGGGTACACTATTGTGTCCAGCTGCTTCCTGAGGTGATTTTGTTTTTTAACATTCCCTTTACATTTTCCTTTGCTAAAGTTTGTTTCCTTTTACTTAGCTTCATTCTTCTTGGAATCAAAACCAAAGGCTTTCCAAAGGATGAGTTTCAGCCAAGCAAAAAAACATGAATGATCCTGATACACAATAGTATGGTTTGTTTGAGGGTACACTATTGTGTCCAGCTTCTTCCTGAGGTGAAAAAAACAATCATCCATCCAAGTAATTATTTTAAAGAATATCAAATCTAAATTGATTCACATCTGCTAAATTCAATCTTAGTCCATGCTGCTAAGTTCAATCTCAGTAATTAATTAATTATCTTAGTGCTTGCAACTCTACCCAACCCCATCACTTTCCCAGCCATCTTTTGCCAGTGTGTCCTGCTGATAGTCACATGCTGAGACATTCAAAAATCATTGAGCCTTGCTTAGCTCAATGTAAAAGAAAATCACTCAAGCTTGCTGAAGACCTTAATGCTGAGTGAGGTAGGCAGAATGCTGAGGTCCTGTCAGGGACAAGAAACTGATAGCAAAACTGAAAGACCCATTATTTGACACTAAACTCAGTGATGTTAATGTCCAACATTACCCATTACTTATGCTAAAGTAATCAATTAATTAACTAAATAATTGATTAATTATTGATTCATTAATTAGTTAATTAAGTAATTAACTAATTAAAATATTAATTAATCAATTAATTATTCTAAACTGCAACAACAACCAGCAGCAGTGGCAAAACAACCAGCAGCAGTGGCAAAACCACCCACATCACTTCAGAGCTGCACTCATTTTTTTCTGCCAGCTAAGAAATTCTTCACAGTGCCTCTGGTATAATTACTCAGGAAGTGACTAAGGCTTCTAATTAACTATATATTTGCTCAGCAGTCATGCACCTGAGTTAATTATACATCCACAACTTCCTTCACTGAGTCCTGAGGCTTGTGATCAATCTGAGGAGACTTTTGCATCAGCTGCCTGAGATCTAGTTCACTCATTTGATGAGTTTCCATGAACTTTCTCAGAGCTTCCTTATTCAGAAGATCCTGAGACAGCTTCTGCTCCCAGTAGGACTGAGATCTTTTCACTGAGAGTTGAAGCTCAGCATGCAAAGCCCTGAGCTCACCTTGCTCCTCTTCCATGTTCTTAGCATGTTGCCTGAGCCTAAGCATTGTGAGCTCCTGGGATTCAAGTGCCTGCTCAAGTAGAAGAATCTTGGACTTCATGTCCTCAATCAGGTCAGGTACATTGTCCAAGTCACTGAGCTTCTGATCTGATTCTGAGCTGTCCAGGAGCTTGTCAATCTCATTGATGTTCAGCTTTTGGAGCTCAGACTTGACATAGCCCTGAGCATCATTGGCAGTCCTGATAGGCTGAGGCTTCCAAACTGAGCTTCTCTGCATATTTGATAAAGCAGCATCTAGCACATTGAAGGGCTGATGAGGTCTGCCTGAGCCCTTCCCTGTTGATGAAGAAGCAGTTGCTGCTGAGAATCCAGCTGGTGGATCAGGCTCAGGAGGCTTGAACTGAGCTTGTCTGAACTGAGGAGCTACAAATGCACCCCAAGGCAATGGGTCCATTCTGAGCACCTCAGTGTAATATCTTTGAACCACTTCCTGAGACCAGCCATTGTGTTCCTGCAGGGTTGCAAATGGTGTCCATGAAAAAAATGACAACTATATCAGTTAATTAATGCTCATTGCCCTATGCTAAAACACACAAACACACACCAACAAAAAAAAAAAAAACATCCATTTGTTCAACCCAGGCACAGAGCATTCTCTACATCCTGATTGCCAGGGAATTCTGCTGAGGAAGACTTGATGGCCATTGCCACAGTCAACCTTAGGCTCCCTAAGGTATCTAGGGTACTCCACAATGTTTTCTGAGTCCATGTTGTTGAAGAGTGCTAAGCATGAGGGTTCCTGAGGTGGATCATTGGGCTGAAGCTGGTAGAGCCCTTGGCCACCCTTCTGAGTCCACAAAACCTTGTCAGGCACCTCAGCAGGCTTCTCTTCAAACATAGGATGAGGTTTGCCTGAGCCTCTCCCATGATAGTCAAAGAAAGACATAGCTGAGATGATATGGAGCAAAGGTTGATTAGTCCTGGCCCTTAGATTTGAGCCTTAAAAAGCTGAGGAATCACATAGACATGCACAAATATGAACATGCTACAACTTCATTGGTTAATTAATTAGCTAATTACTCAATTATAAGAAACTTAAACATGCATAAGCATGCTAATTAATTAATTAATTGATTAATTAATTAATTAATTGATTAATTAATTAATTAATTAATCAAAATTGCCAAAAGTCTAAGATTATGTCCAAGCTGGGCACTAATCCCACACCACCAGAAACACCCTTCAGTCCTCTAGGGCTCTTCAGTCTTGGCCTTCTTGGACTTGGGCTCAGCATCTGAGGATGGATCTGATGCTGAATCATCACTGCTCATAGGCTGAGAGTCTAGGACCTGAGAATCATCAACCAGCTCCTGGGACCCAAAGGGTGTATCTGATGGTGCTTCATCATCACTCCCCATAGGCTGAGAGTCTAAGACCTGAGAGTCCTTAGCCACCTCCATCACCTCATGGTCAGGCTGTGCATTCAACTCCTTTTCCATATCCTGAAACTTGCTGAGGGTAGCATCAAATGTATCAGACTTAGCAGGTTGGGCAGGCTGGGCAGGCTGAGGAAGAGGGATACACTCTGATGGCCAACCATCCTGAGCATCCTGAAGAGCTGTCTTGAGAATCCTAATCCATTGCCCCTGAGTGATCTTTGGGTAACCCTTGAAGTCTTTGAAGATCTGACTGAGTTCATTCCTGAAACTGAGCATCACCCAATCAGGCACAGCATCAGGATCCTCAAGCTGAACCAACTGCTGAGTGTAGTACTTCTGCAGCATGTCCACAAACTGTTCCTGAGAGCACCTGAGCTTCACCTTGATGTCAGCCATCTCAGCTGTCAGAGCCACCACCTTCATGGAGTTGCTTAAAGAACCACCCAAAAATAAAACTCATTAACTAATTCATTAATGGATTTCCCATTGGGAAACAAAAAACAAATCCAAGCCTTAGGACTCAAAGAGAATTTCTCCAGAGTCAGGATATTCCTGAGGTTGGAAAACCATTCCACAAGATGATAATTGTAGTCCTTCCTGAGCTTGTCCATCTCAGTGTTGAATTGCTCCATGGCTGAGCTGATGGGATGCAAAGAAGCTGGCTAGAATGGGCTTGAGCCTTCACAAGCAAAGAAATAAATCCCCCCATGTGAGATGAAAATGGATTGAAATCAAATGAAAAGCAATTCCTTTGTTAATTAATAAATTAAGTTGAAATCAATTCAAAGTAAAGTGAAAATCAATTGAAAAACAATTTAATTAAACAAATTGAAAATCAATCGAAATTAATTTGAAATCATTTGAAATCAATTGAACATCAGTTGAAAATGAGTTGAAATCAATTGCAATCAAAACCAAAGGCTTTCCAAAGGATGAGTTTCAGCCAAGCAAAAAAACATGAATGATCATGATACACAATAGTATGGTTTGTTTGAGGGTACACTATTGTGTCCAGCTGCTTCCTGAGGTTATGTTTTTTTTTTCAAGCATTTCCTTTCCCTTTTCATTTACTAAAGTTTGTTTCCTTTTACTTAGCTTCATCCTTCTTGGAATCAAAACCAAAGGCTTTCCAAAGGATCAGTTTTAGCCAAGCAAAAAAAAAAACATGAATGATCCTGATACACAATAGTATGGTTTGTTTGAGGGTACACTATTGTGTCCAGCTGCTTCCTGAGGTGATGTTGTTTTTTAACATTCCCTTTGCATTTTCCTTTGCTAAAGCTTTTTTTTATTTTCTCAATTAGTTTCTTGTATTTAGAATTCTCAGAAATGCACAATTTCCCAAAATATATGATGCCTTATTAAAACCCAATTAAAAAACATGACTCAAACAATTTTTCAAGGTGGTAGTCCATGAGCAACCCTGATACACAATAGTGTGGTTTGTTTGGGGGTACACTATTGTGTCCAGCTGCTTCCTGAGGTGATTGTTTTTTTTTTTAACCTTCCTTTTCCTTTTCCTTTGCTAAAATTTGTTTCCTTTTACTTAGCTTCATTTTTCTTGGAATCAAAACCAAAGGTTTTCCAAAGGATTAGTTTCAGCCAAGCAAAAAAAAACATGAATGATCATGATACACAATAGTATGGTTTGTTTGAGGGTACACTATTGTGTCCAGCTGCTTCCTGAGGTGATTTTTTTAAAACATTCCCTTTACCTTTTCCTTTGCTAAAGCTTTTTTTATTTTCTCAATTAGTTTCTTTTATTTAGAATTCTCAGAAATGCACAATTTCCCAAAATATATGATGCCTTATTAAAACCCAATTAAAAAACATGACTCAAACAATTTTTCAAGTGGGTAGTCCATGAGCAACCCTGATACACAATAGTGTGGTTTGTTTGGGGGTACACTATTGTGTCCAGCTGCTTTCTGATTTGATTGTTTTTTTTTCAACAATTTCCTTTTCCTTTTCCTTTGCTAAAGTTTGTTTCCTTTTACTTAGCTTCATTTTTCTTGGAATCAAAACCAAAGGCTTTCCAAAGGATCAGTTTCAGCCAAGCAAAGAAAAACATGAATGATCATGATACACAATAGTATGGTTTGTTTGAGGGTACACTATTGTGTCCAGCTGCTTCCTGAGGTGATGTTGTTTTTTAACATTCCCTTTACATTTTCCTTTGCTAAAGCTTTTTTTTATTTTCTCAATTAATTAGTTTCTTTTATTTAGAATTCTCAGAAATGCACAATTTCCCAAAATATATGATGCCTTATTAAAACACAATTAAAAAACATGACTCAAACAATTTTTCAAGGGGGTAGTCCATGAGCAACCCTGATACACAATAGTGTGGTTTGTTTGGGGGTACACTATTGTGTCCAGCTGCTTCCTGAGGTGATTGTTTTTTTTTCAACCATTTCCAACCATTTCCTTTTCTTTTTCCTTTGCTAAAGTTTGTTTCCTTTTACTTAGCTTCATTTTTCTTGGATTCAAAACCAAAGGCTTTCCAAAGGATTAGTTTCAGCCAAGCAAAAAAAAACATGAATGATCATGATACACAATAGTATGGTTTGTTTGAGGGTACACTATTGTGTCC